ATTACTCACGCGGGCAATTGTGACGCGCGTGTTTCGCGAGCGGATTGGATCGACGACGCGTCACCCCGGGCCCGCTCCGAGGCCTTCGGGCAGCGAACGCGAGTTGGCGCCGCGTCGATTTCGCCGCGCGGTTTTTCCCGCGTTGGTGACGACGACGACGATGGCTATTTTGGCGGTTTTGTCGGCGGCTGGGGGGAGGACGTCGGAACGTCCCGAGTGGAGCGTAGGCGCGTGAGGGCGGGCTGCGGCAGCGCTTTCGCCGGGCCGCGCGTCTTTATTTCCTTGACCCCCTACCCTGGGCACATGGTGGAGCTGTGGATCCAGCTGGGACAGGAGGAGGAAGGGCCCAACGGGACGGCGAGGCGCGCCGAGCCGGCGGTAAGAACCCCACGCCGGCATCACGGCGGCACGCACGCCAACAAAGGGACACGTGGTGGTGGTGGGGGTGCCTGAAGGTTGGCATCCGGGTGGCTCGGAGGTCACGGTGGCAGCGCCGGCACCTCATGAGACCCGCAGTTGGAATCTACGTCTCGGGCACTCGTGGTTCTACTTTACTTACCTTGCTTATCGTGTTTTTGTACTGTCCGTTGTTGTAACGTTCTGACCCTGATGCTGGGTCTTCAAGTGTTGCAAGCGGACGTTCCCAGTCACGTCGCCATTGACTGCAATTGCAGTTAAACCTTCGCCTTAAATTTGTGGTGAAGTATGCAACAATAGTCCACGTGGTGTGGAGAGGCCCTCAATCAAGGATTGCGGGATGGGCCATACACGTAACTTGTACGTACACAGATGTCCCGCACGAAAAGAGGTGATTACAATCAACTGTCTCGCCTAGTGAGCTAACACTCGCTTAACTATACACGCGCACACACACACATGCTTGCATACACATGCACGCACATACACACACCGCACATGCACAACACACACAATACGTACCCCATGCACGCACATACATACACCACACACACACACCACGCATGCACGTACACCACACATACACACACCGCACATACACACACCACACACACGCTGCACGCATGTACTTACACTACACATACACAACACACACAACACATACCCCATCACCCACACATACACCATGCACGCACACCACACATACACACATGGCACACACCACACTCACACCACACACACCACACACACACCACACACACCACACACACCACACACACACACACCGCACACACACCACACACACACACCGCACACACCACACATACACACATGGCACACACGCCACACACCGCACACACCACACTCACACCACACACACCACACACACCACACACACCGCACACACACCACACCCCAGGAGAGCCAGTCGGTGCTGCTGTTCCTGGCGGCCCCCATCACCATCTGCCACGCCACGGGCCTCGCGCTGCTCTACTTGCCCACGCTCGCTCAGCACGAGGCCGCCGAGTACTTCGGGGTGTCCGAGACGGAGGCCGTCACCTTCACCACGCTCGCCATTTACCTGGCCGGCATGGCCCTGCCCCACCAGACTCACCGGTACGCGTGACCTCACGTTGCGTCTCGGTTTTTCCAGCGCGCAACCGTGGCACGGCGCGGTTCAGAAGGCGCCCGCGTTGTTTTTCCACTGCGGGAAACCGAGCCGTGCCTTGGGCGTCGCGCGTAGCGAGCGAGCGAGTCGAGAGGCGCGTAGGGGATGCCGGGGGTGATGCCGGGGGTGATGCCGGGGGTGATGCCGGGGGTGATGCCGTGTCCTCACGCACGCGCACGGACCGGCGTTCAGTAGCGCGGCGCGCTAACCGGTGCGCCGCCTCTCCCCCAGCCGTACGGTGCGAGCGCGAGGACCCGCGCGGGAGTTTCACTTCTCTCTGCGTGATCCCTGCCTCTGTGGGTAACCGCAGGGTCCTGCTGGGCTCGGGGACGCGCCGAGGCTGGATGACGCTCAAGTGCGTGACCCTGATGTACCTGTCGGTGCTGCTCACCAGCATCGCGCTTATCAACTTCTCCCTGGGCTTCCTGCTCGCGGTCGCCATGGTGCCCATCGCCACGTTCATCACGCCGTCCCGTCGCTGGTGACCGAGGCTTCCATCCCGTTTCGTTTACCACCCTCGGCGCTGGTGCCGTTAGAGTAATTAACAGCTCCTCTGTTGTGTTTTCTGGTTGTACGGTGTATGAATGTTGTTGAACTTCTTTCCCCGTACGTAGCCAACCGTGTGAAATCACATCAGGGGAATACAACACAACCGCATCTACCCTGTCACTCTCACCCCCTCACCCTTTCGCTCACTCACCCCCTCACTCTGTCACCCTCTCACTAACTCACCCTGTCATCCTCTCGCGATCTAACCCTGTCACCCTCTCACCAGCTCACCCTCTCACCCTGTCACCCTCTCGCCTTCTCGCCCTCTCACCCTCTCACCAGCTCACCCTCTCACCCTCTCACCAGCTCACCCTCTCACCCTCTCACCCTCTCACCCTGTCACCCTCTCACCAGCTCACCCTGTCACCCTCTCACCCTGTCACCCTCTCACCCTCTCACCCTGTCACCCTGTCACCCTGTCACCCTGTCACCCTCTCACCCTGTCACCCTGTCACCCTCTCACCCTGTCACCCTCTCACCCTGTCACCCTCTCACCCTGTCACCCTGTCACCCTCTCACCGTCTCAGGCTCCTGCAAGTGGTGCTCCTGCTGCTGGCGTCCCCGGCCGTGCTGCTGCTCGTGTTGCTCGCGCTCCGCTGGGAGCTGCTGGAGGTGCCGTGGCAGCCGCTGGACGCGTGGCTCGCGCTGCTGCAGGCCCTGGCCGAGGCGGTGCTGAACCACCACCTGTACGGCGCCCTCGTGTTCCCGCTCGCCGCGCTCGCCATCTACCCCTGCTGGCTCATGCTGTGGAACGTGCTCTTCTGGACGTGCTGAGCTCGTATCGCATCCATAGACCCCCCCCCCCTGGACCCGGATCCCCCCACCCCCCAGACCCCTCCCACCCCCCCCCCCCCCCCCCCCGAGTCCCCATCCCCCAGGCAGGTCCCCATGTACCCGTTGCTTTTTCCGAGCGCGTAGGGCGATCGAAATTTTACGAGGCGTGGGAATGCAATTTGCCAGGGTGGCACAGTGGCACACACCTCTTCGATGCGCTAATATTGTGGTAAAGGAAAAGTTCTGGCGCTCGGCAATTGCTTGCACGGCGCAGCTGGGAGGTCGCACGTTCAAGAGCGCCGATGCTGGCGCCGTTGCGATCCGGGGGTTCAAATCTAGGTCTAGGCCGCCTGCGATCTAGAACAACAACAATAATAATAATAATGGTGAACTTGCGACGCGGCCCTTTGAAGAGAGAACGACTCGGAAGGCGCGAGGATGCCCTAGGCGAGCGGGAAGGCGACCACGCGCTGAGCCGGTGCCAACATTTGCCAAAGCTCTGCGGTCCTCTACGTGTTAAGATGTCTTCAACCAATCAATGAGTGTTTTTGCACGTGGGAGCGACACTTTTCCCATGCAGACGGAACGGGCGGCGTCCACGTTTTTTTTCTGTACTGCCGTCTCCTGGCAAGCCACGGCACTGCACCTCCTGGACGCCCACGCGAAGGGAGTTTTTCAACATTTGTGCGGCGATCTACCAACCCTCACTACCTTCACAGCGCTGGATTGCAGGCGACGTGCAGCGGCGTAGCCGCCACCACAATCACCACCACCGCCGCTGCCGCCACCCGGCTAACGTGGCCGCTGCAGCGTCGCGCGAGTTGATGCCCTCGTGGTCTCGGCCTCGTGGTCTCGGCCAGGTGGCCGGCGGCTGCGCGCACGACAGCCGCCCTAAGCGACGACGAGGCTGTGACGCGACCGGGCCATGTGAAGGGTGAGGCCGCTACACAGCAACAGTGCAGGGTTGGGTGCGGGCCGGGGGGTGAATAGGGCACACGGCTTTGCACGCTGTAAGTGAAGAGAATGTCGCCAAATACTCAACCTGGAATGTCACTCGGCTGCGTTTGTGTCTGCGGAGTGCGGCGGCGTAGAGGTTAGCGCTACGCTGCGCTACGAACCCGGCGGCCCGAGTTCGATTCCCGCTCACGGCCAACACCAGTGACGATTACCTGAACCGGTCATGGGCCTCCACTTAGGTTGACTCAGCCTCAAATGAGCATCAGGTGTGGTGTGTTAAAACACCAGCACTGGGGAGACAAAGGCGGCCGGCCGAGGTGCTGGCCACCCACCCCCTCGTGTACCGTTCTAGGCTTCATAGGTGCTGCTCGATAACAGTACTTGCCCCAACAGTCTGTTGCAGGCTATACGGGTGGGGGGGGGGTGATCTTTGTCTTTTGTGTGACCAACTTGAAAGAATGCTTGTGAATGAGGGGCAGACTTAAGAATGAAACGCCGTCCTGTCTGCTGCTGCTGCTGCTTGCACGGTTCGTGCAGCAACAGCAGCACATGGCAGTGCGCCGCCTGGTCGTTGTGCTCCACAACTCTCCAGAGAAAAACAAAAACTTTTTGGCCCAATGTGAAGCTTTGATGTGTTTCTATCTACTACGGTCCCATAAAAATCCTCAAGGCAATATTTTTTTTGTTCCCCCGTTTACATTTCTGCTGAACGGTGGAGACGGTTGTGAATGCTAATGTGTCTCGGTGTTTTCGCACTGAAAGTTATACAATCTGAGAGTGATTTAGATTTACAAGGCACCCTTTAAACAATGTATCTCGGATCGCCATGCATGTAAAGAAGGGCAATAATTGAAGTAACCGGGGGGAGAGAGACTCCAGAGATATGAGGTAGTAATTTGAATGTGGTGTGCGCTGCGTACAGCAAGAAATAAAATACAGGGACTCCTCTACTTACGAACGAGGTCTGTTCGTAAGTCGATTTGTTCCTAAGTCCAACTTTACTCCTGTCGATTCCAAACATGTTGTACGGCATGCACACTAAACATGGTTTGTTCGTATCTTTGAATGTTCGTAAGTAAAGTCCCTGCAATTATCTTGAATAGGATGTAGAACAACCCCGCAGGGCAAACGGCGAGAGGTCAATTTAGAGAGGTGCGTTTTAAAGGTAAGACTTCAACAAAAGTGAAACCAATGACTCCGATAACCAAAGGCGAAGAAGCGTTCCGCAGTCTGGGGAGCTGCGCTGTAAAACAATCCCCCAACAGCTTCTTGAAACGGCCGGGCCTTGGCGGAGATTTCCCAAACGGAAGCATAAAAGTTACACTCGAGTTGAATCCAGTTTGCCTTCATGCAGTCTGTGCGAGAGGGGTGTTTTGTTCTAAGTAACTTAAAGTATTTTTTTCTCTCCAATCAAAAAAGTCACGTCTTTATAAGTAACGGGATATGGATGAGGTGAAGGATTTTGAATAGGACCCGCATGTGCTGTGCGTTAACAAATCTCCACGTGGTCGTTGAGGGTTTGTGGGAAGCAATGTGTGTTTGGAAACCACATTGTGCCATCTACTGTACTATATGTAACAATTCACGTCTTGCCCAGTGCATCTTACCAATGTGTACACCCACAAATTGAGAAATGTAGTAAATTAAACTTGCTGTCTGGTCTGAATTTCTGTGCCATTGTTTATTCATTCGCAAAAGGTACGTCTTATTATTTACGCATGCACATTGTATTGCGACGGCGCATTCGCTGCAGTGAAAGTGTTCCCATTCGCTTTGTGAAATTAACTTCCATCGTGTATAATTTTACTAATGTGCGTGGCCTATTCTTTTGCTCACAAAGTCGATGACCTCACTAAAAAAAGAGTCGTGCACAAGAAGGGCCGGTCCAGGAGTGGTTAACGAAAGGCGCGGGAAATATTCGTATCCAGCAGTTGCTCATGCACAAGGGGTTCGAATCTGTCCAGCGTAGATCTCACATCGTCTAGATGTACATAGCGCGCCTTATTTCCACTCTCTCCAAATCTCGCCGTAACTTTGTAACCGCGGTCAGGGTCGTGTGGCCGCCGGGGCAAATCGCGCGTCGAACGAACCGGGAGTATCACATCTGACTGACGTCAAAGCACGTGGGATCCCCCCGCCCCCCCTAGCGTGGGGTCTGGGGCAGTCGCCCCAATTCGCCATGCTCCCTAGGGACGGCTCTTGACCGCCAGTGTCCTGTGACTGCCGCCACCCCTGCCGACAGTCTTGGGCTGTGGTCGACCAATCGGCAGGGCCGGTTTTCTCAATGAGCCTCAACCAGCCGAAAACAAGTTTGCGTGAAGATATTCTCACAAGAACGACAATGCCACTGGATCCGCTCTCTATTTTTTAATTGTATTTCATGGTGGTGGTGGTGGGGGGGGGGGGGGGTTCCATTGTAAATTAGACCTTCAAATGTTTGGCACGAAGTACACAACTAGTTAGGTGTCGATATGTACTCGTGAAAAACTGGAATATAGCATGTTGTCATTATTATTCTTCACCACAATACATCGTAAAGTAAACCTACTACGCTCGTTACAGTGAACCAAACCGAGGCATGCCGAGCGAGGGTTCCATAAACAACAACAACAACATGGGGGAGGGGGGGGGGTGAAGGAGACGTCGAAACGTCACGAACTGATGAAGTTAAATCCAAAGAAAAACAAAGATAGTCACGTAAGCTTAAAAAGTTTAGCACGGAAATTAGCGGGTTTGATCTGTTGCATCGCTAACAATGACAAAGTATTACACACACAGAAAAAAAACTCCGCTAAATCTCAGACCAAAGTACTTCAAATTAAAAAAAAACATAACCACGTTAAAACAGTTCTCAAACTCCAGTCGTTGATGGGAGCACAATTTTTTTTAAATCGGCAATTTGAATTATTAAATTTATATTTACCCAGGGGGAAAAAATGTTTTGGGGGTGGGGGGGGGAAAGAGTAATGCTTGAGGATTCTGGGTAAAACGAATGCTTCAGTAATCGTGGTTTGTGTGGAGGAAAATAAGCAGAGTGACCATGCGCAAAACATGAATTGCAGGCAGGTGAGCAGCCTATTTGTTGGACTACCACCCGCCCACTCTGCTGCATCGTCCGCAGCTCGCCACCATGTGGCCAACTCGCTCCGCCACAAAGCGGCTGCTACCGCAGCCTCAGGACTGGAGTTGAAGAACCTGCGTAGCTTAGCGCACCGATACTCGTCCGTCACGTCACGCACACAGCTCGAGATTTCACTTAAAATTCTACATCTTCGTCCCAAACGAGCGGTATGTGTGTGTCCACGCAACCGATGTGACGCGCAGTTCGCCGGATGTGCAGTTGGGTTGTTGACGCCTCAACCGTTCCGCACGGCCATCGTCCGTCATGAAAAGTACACAGGTCACAGATGAAATGGGCAAACGACATCTACAACTCTTCTTGTCGAACCGTTCGGATGCGAGCATGTGACGCGTTAATGTGCAGTTAGAATATTTAACCACGCCAACCGTGATGACGGTAAAGCGGACCTCGCATGCCATGCAACGCGCTAGCTCGTCACCCGCCCCTTGTGCCGTCCATCCCCTCCCCTCCCCTGTCCCCGACGACTGTTCAGAATGAAACAAAATTAAACCCTGCAGAAAAGATTTGCGATCAGCGGCGCCGTTTAAATCAGTAGATGTAACTCGGATATGATATATTTACTTTTTAAACTTCCTGCCCACAGCCCATCCTGTTGTTTTTAACGTTTCTCTTTTCCTCGGCGTGCCCGCGGCCGAGCACTGGCAACGGTCCGGCGCTCGGGAACGTTCCGAGTGGCGGCTACCGGCGGCGGCCGACAGCCGCGCACGCACAACGCTCCCCACCCCGTAGGCGTCTCTCGCCCGCCCCCGCACCTGGACAGCGCAGACGCAACAAACACTTCTGTTTACATCAACGGGTCGAGCAACAGCCCCGCCTGCAACATCCCGCCTTTCACGAACATGTACTCGCCCGGTGGTCATCCCACGCGGAGGAGGAGGGGCCCAGAGAGCGATGAGGAATCTTCGTCGACGTCGGCTGCCGACGGACAGCGAGTGCCTCCACACGCTCCGTTTCAGCGGGAGGGCACTTTACCACGCGGACATCTCATTTCGCTTTCTCCTAAAACGCCACATTTACTTGCCGTAAACACAACTCGTATCTTACTCAACGTGCCCGTGCATTCGCCGGCTCTCGCCGCTTTATCGCTCCAGTTATTCACGTGTTTTCAATCTCCTCCTCCGCTTCCTCCCCCTCTCCGCCCCCCTCGCCTCACCCTCGTCTTCTCCACCCTCCCTCCTCCTCCTCCTCCTCCCCGCCGTCGCCCTACTTCTGCACGTGGAACATGAAGAGGCGCAGGTTGATGTTCTTGGCGGCGAGCAGCTTGTTGCACTCGACGGCGGAGACGATGGGCAGGGGCAGGTACTCAGTCTCGTTGCCCTCGTTGGTGAAGGTGAAGTAGTGCACGACGGGGGTGACGCGGGCGTCGTCATACGGTCCACGCAGCAGCAGGAAGGCGCACTCCATGGGCGAGCTCAGCTTGCTCTTGAGGTTCAGCTGGAAGGAGAGCGCTCGCTTGCACGACAGATTGGGGTTGCGCTCCGAGTCGTTGACGCGCCCCTTCAGCACCCACGTCTGGTTGAGGATGTTGAAGCGCGGCGTCTCGTAGTACAGCCTCGTGATGAAGTCGTCCGTCCGGTAGGGTCGGAACTGAACCTCTGCGAGGGCGCGGAGGGATGCGAGGGAGGGGAGGGATGCGAGGAGGTGGGAGAGAGAATGCAACGAGCCAGCAGTGTTTTGCCGAATGGTGTGCACGCACCGAATCAAGGCAGACCACCACCGCCATCTGTGAAGGCTTAGTCTGGCAATTGAGTAGCTATGTTTAGACAGCTGAGTTTGGTGATTCTTGCAACCGTGATGTAACACAATACTTTTTTTCAAGTCAGGAAATAAAGGGGGAAGGGAGGGATGGGAGGCAGAGATGGACAAGAGCTTGGTCTTGACAGAGGAAGGGAGGGAGGGAGGGAGTACAGTGTGGCGACGAGAATACAAATCTGCACACAAGCTAATAACGGGACGACCTCCGTGGTCAAGGAGGGAGCGGTGCGCGTGGACCGAAGCAACGTTACCGGTGTATCCGATCTTCTCCAGGCTGAGCAGAGTGAAGATGTCATTGAAGAGCTGCATCTCCTTCTTGTGGTTCTGGTCCATTTCGTCGAGCACACCCATGAGCTCGGAGCCGGTCTTCTTGGGGTGGCAGCACTCGGCCTCGTGAGCGCTGATCTCATGGAAGGGGCCCTGCCACGGGCACCCGATGCGCTGGTACCGACAGTTCGTCAGCCTGGACACAGAGGGGGCGGCACGGGGGTGAGCCAGTCCTGTGCCTCTGTGTCGCTGTGTCACGTACAGCCCCGATAGTCCTTTCCACTGTTGGATGATTGTTGCCGCTGTCGGTATAAGGTGTTAGCACACTGCGCTTTCAAATGTTTTAATTTTTGCGTGACAACCCCGCTAATTTAGCCGTGTGAAAACAAATGGGAGATTGTTTTTAGTTCGAATTGGTACAGGCGAGGGCTTAACAAGAATTGTTTTATCCGTTTGCTCTATCAACATCCTGGCACGAGCCGGAGTAGCCTTTCGGATCTCTCACGGCTTAGTCTCCGTGTAGGAGAACGGCTCACGGAAGCGGATATCACCGAGCTACCGCTCGAGAGCCCTTCAAGCGACCTCGGCGTACACACAGCGGAGGGGCAGCACTTCCCCATCCACTCTGCGTACGAGAGTGAAGATCGTCACGTGACGGTCAAACAGATTTTTTTGTTTTCAGAGCTGGAATGTAACCAAATTGAAAGTGCATAACCAAATATTTCATGTGACGGTTACGTTGGCGACCAGGCGGACGCCGTCGACTCTAAGAGACTCGAAAACCCTCGGCGGTTAAACCGCAGGCGACCGCCCGGATTCGAACCCAGGTTTTAGCGGTGCCAGCTCAGCGCTGTGGCCTCTGACCCCCTGACCCACCCCGGCCACGGCTAAACCTGTAACGGTGTTCCACGCAACAGACCTCCCACTGGGCTGTGCTCGGGTGACAGGAATCAATGCAGCCCATCGGAACAACGTCCCCAGTTGTTTGTGCCCCAGCCGAGTTAGAGCATTGGTGGGCACAGTCAACTAAAACTAAACTATTTTTATTTTATTTTCCACAATGATAACTCAACGAAGCGGCTTATTACGTAGAAATGTACAGCAGCTAAATATTCTAAACGCACGTTTTCTAAATGTGGAGGGGGTAAACCAGAGGACCCGGACAAAAAATCCACACGACCACGGGGAGAACGTGCAAACTCCAAATATACATGCATCATATTGTCGGGATCGAACCCACGACCTCCTGCATCCCAGGCGAGGAAGTTAACATCTCGCCACCGTGGCGCCCCTTGCTATAAACACGATGGCCCGGGTTCAATCCCTCGGCCACGGTTGTTCCGAGTGGCGAGTGGCATCCGAATCGGGTCGTGGGTCCCCAACGATCTTGGCCAACCGGCGCTGACCAGTGCGGTCACAACTAAAGTGTGGTAACACAACATCCGTGACCGACGCTGCGTGTGGGAGCCCCTCATCCAGCAGTGGGTTGACAAAGGGTTCTACACGATCCATTTCCTCATTATTACCATATTTGGGATGGTGCTGCGGCGTAACGGTTAGCACACTGGACTTGCAATCCAGAGGTCGACGGTTCGATTCGATCTCCTGGCACGGCGGTTGAAACAATGGGCAAGTCTCTTAAATCCCCCCCGCAGCCTCTGTCCACCCGTAAATAAGAAAAAAAAATGGTTACACCAGAGTTAGTCGATGAGCGGGACGCATGTGGCGGGGGTAAAGTGCGGGCGCTCTCGCCTCCTCCAAGGCGTCTGACCAGCATGGAAGATTTTGCCAATTACCCTCCAAGGAGGGGGGCTCTCTCTCTCCTAGAGCTCCCTCTAGTGGAGGCCCCTTCCCGCCGGGCAGTGGCGTGAGCGGGAATTGCAGGGCCATCCCCTTCCCTCGCCGTGCGGATAGCGGGGATTATTTGACCGTACTTCACCACGCTGGTCAGTGGACGGGTGGTGAAGGCAGCGAGCAGAGTCGCGTGTGAGCAAAGTACAGAACAACAAAGGGGGTTTGCTGCGGTGCCCCCTTCCGCCCGCGACGCAGCACAGCTCCCCGGGACAGCCCCATACACGCGCCGCCAGGCTCGCGACCCGCTTAGCTTCAGAGATCTGATGAGAGCCGGGAGCACTCCGGGCGAGTTGGTAATTTTTCGCGGGGATGGAAATAACCCTTTTGCTTTTCAAACTGGAGCCGCAGCTGCCCAGCGCACACCACTCTCAAGGCAGTTGCCTTCCCTGAAAGGTGGATTCCAGTGGTTGGGCAGAGTCAGACTTAGCTTTGTGTCAGTTCTTGCATGTGCCAGTACAGGCCATGGATGGCACTGCTATGCACGAACAGCACAGTGTTGAAGGTTTCTCACATCGTACCCATTCATCAGCAGACCTAATACTTGCACAGGTCTACTGATTAGAAACGACCAGTCAGTTGTCAAAAGGACTCGGATTCACACCTGAATGAAATAGGTGAAATGCACCACCCTGGCGGGCTGTGACACGGTCGCGCGACTGACGCTCGTTGCAGAGGTTCATGGTTTGAGCCCAACAGCCGCCCTGGTAAACTACTGCGGGTGCATTAACTGTGGGTGGCCGTTAAAAGATCCCGTGTCGTAATTCGGAAATGAGTAGGCAACGCACATCTCTTGAAATGACCGGCTCTGCCTTGGGACGTTTGTGGAACACCGCCGCAGTTGAGTGTCGTCACCCAACGGCTTGTTTGAGCAAATCTGACTTTTTAAAAAAAGTGTTTTGTGTTTCCAGGCCAGCCACCGCAGGTGGTGAAGGGGCCATGGCTAGGAGGGCTTAGCAGTTCGCCAATTTGCGTTCAAACACAGCCCACGGTGTAAAGCAACTCAACGCTTCTGTCCACCAAGGTCACCAAGGGCGGAGCGTACGCTGGACTCGGTCTGTGCCATGTGCTTCTGCTCCTGGCATTGTAAACAAAATTTAGTGAAATGAGATTAACTTTTTTTTTGAATGAACAAATTCAACCCCAACCAAATAAACATTTCAGCCACCCCGAAGAACATTTTCACCTGCCGCCAATGCCAGCTATGGTAGCTACACAAGATAACGATCCCCCAAATAGCCGACAAATGCTGTTGAGGCAAGTGCTGTTAGCAAGCACCTAAAAAGACGAGTACGTAGCACGCGGGGATGTTGCGGCCTTCGCTACGCCTGGCCGCCTTTTTCTCCCCAGTGCTGGTGTTTACACACCACGCCAGATGCCCTTTACATCCGAGTCAACCTAAGACCGGTTCCAGATATAAATATAATCGCACCCTAGGTCGCCAGGGCTCGTAGGGCAGTATGCTAACCACTCCACTACCACTCACCAAACAAAGACAAACACTCGCACAAGCATGCACATACCACACCACACTCTCACACAAAGATCCCCCCCGTATAGCCTTACCATAATTTTGGGGCAAGTGCTGTTAGAGAGCACCTATGAAGGCTGGCACGGCACACGAGGAGGTGGGTGACCAGCACCATACCCGGGCAGCTTTGTCTCCCCAGTGGCGATGATTACGCATCGCACCAGGTACTCATTTGAGGCCGAGTCGACCTAGGGGAGGTCCAGGACCGGTTCAGATAATCCGTCACCGGTTTTGATGGCCGTGAGCGAGAATGGAACTCGGGTGGCCGGGTTCGAAGCGCAGCGCGCTAAACCGCTACACCACCGCTCCTCACACCGCACTGACACACACACACACACACGCGCATCACACCCCACGCACGCACACGCACACACACACACATACCGGTCCTGGCAGAGCTCCTTCTGGTGGTGCTCCAGGCAGGAGCGGGGGAACTGGTGGAGGCAGAAGCCGCACTCGGCCGGCAGCTCGCTCACCGCCTTCTCCACCGCCAGGTTGCGGCAGCACAGGCTCTTGCTGATCTCGCAGCGGCAGTTGGGGCACGTGGCCTGCTCCTCCTTGAGCCGCGCGTCGGCCAGCAGGTGGATGAAGCAGCCGGCGCACATCAGGTGTCCATTGGAGCACTGTCGGGCAGGCGCAGCCAAAGGGGGGGGGAGGGTGGAGGGGATGGGGTGCACGTTGCTGTACCGTCAATTCGACAGCGCTGCCACCCTCATCGGCGCAGATGCTGCCCGAGCGTCATGGCGACGGTGATCGGTTATCGGCGCGCTGCACTTGCAACACAGGAGGTCGACGCTTCGATCGCCCGGCGCGGCAAGTGAAATAGCGGTGCAAGGTTCTTACATTCTCCCCCCGCCCACCCCACACTGATCGCTCGCCTCTGTCCACCGAGCCAAGTTTGAGCGGGTGCACCACGGTTGGTAGATCGGCCGGTCGTGTGCGATGGGGTCAAGTGTGGGTACTGTGCCCACAGGGTGGCAGAGGTTAAAAGATCCTCTGGAGGGGTCTCTCGTATTGGAGGCCCCTCCGCCAACAGTGGCGTGGGCGAGAAATTGCAGGGCTGCACCTTTACCTTTGACCTTTTTACCGTTACTACCAAAGTTGAATCGTCTCGCTGCTCAAATAAGCGGACAAGCAGCGCTCATTCCTATTGACAGCCCTGGGTCAGTGGTGGGCATTCGAAATTACTATGGCGGGGACAAGTCCGTCCATGAGCCACTGACTGCTGTCGCTTTCCCACAAAGCGGTTGTTGTTGTTATCTTATCGAGGGATGGTGGGTGGTGTTGGGGTGCCGAGTTTCCCTGTGAGCCAGGGGTCTGAACCAACAGCGGTGCAGCTGCGAGCTGCGTGCCCTTAACCCCCGGCGCCGCGCCACACGTGGCAACCGAACAAAAGCATTTTCTGGAATAATTGCAGGCCGGGTGATGCGGTGCCACGCTTCTCAATGCTCCATGGCCGTCGTCTGCAAAACAGAACAAGCATGAAATAGACACACGCTGCAACTCGTCGTCGCCCTCGCACGACTACAAGCAAGGCGTCCAATTGACCAATCATTTGATCGAATGGATCGAACTCCGGGTCTTGGCGAATCCATCCTCAATTCCGGCTGCCTCCACGCCTGCCAAACCGATGGCCACGTGCGCCGCGCCGGACCGGACCACGCGCGTCGCTCTGGCACTCCTCGCCTCGAGAGTAGCGGAGAAAGTTCAGCCCGGGGATGAAAAAATCAGAAGGTGGCAGCCGCTCTCGGCTTCCAATCCTCAGCCCCTGAAAGCTTTTCTCTTTATCTAATGAGGCCACAGCTGGCGTGTGCAGTTGCAGTAAGGTCCAGATACAGTGAGGGAAAAAAAGTATTTGATCCCCTGCTGATTCTGTACGTTTGCCCACTGACAAAGAAATGATCAGTCTATAATTTTAATGGTAGGTTTATTTGAACAGTGAGAGACAGAATAACAACAACAAAATCCAGAAAAACGCATGTCAAAAATGTTATAAATTGATTTGCATTTTAATGAGGGAAATAAGTATTTGACTCCCTCTCAATCAGAAAGAATTCTGGCTCCCAGGTGTCTTTTGTACAGGTAACGAGCTGAGATTAGGAGCACACTCTTAAAGGGAGTGCTCCTAATCTCAGCTTGTTACCTGTATAAAAGGCACCTGTCCACAGAAGCAATCAATCAATCAATCAGATTCCAAACTCTCCACCATGACCAAGACCAAAGAGCTCTCCAAGGATGTCAGGGACAAGATTGTAGACCTACACAAGGCTGGAATGGGCTACAAGACCATTGCCAAGCAGCTTGCTGAGAAGGTGACAACAGTTGGTGCGATTATTCGCAAATGGAAGAAACACAAAAGAACTGTCAATCTCCCTCGGCCTGGGGCTCCATGCAAGATCTCACCTCGTGGAGTTGCAATGATCATGAGAACGGTGAGGAATCAGCCCAGAACTACACGGGAGGATCTTGTCAATGATCTCAAGGCAGCTGGGACCATAGTCACCAAGAAAACAATTGGTAACACACTACGCCGTGAAGGACTGAAATCCTGCAGCGCCCGCAAGGTCCCCCTGCTCAAGAAAGCACATATACATGCCCGTCTGAAGTTTGCCAATGAACATCTGAATGATTCAGAGGACAACTGGGTGAAAGTGTTGTGGTCAGATGAGACCAAAATGGAGCTTTTTGGCATCAACTCAACTCGCCGTGTTTGGAGGAGGAGGAATGCTGCCTATGACCCCAAGAACACCATCCCCACCGTCAAACATGGAGGTGGAAACATTATGTTTTGGGGGTGTTTTTCTGCTAAAGGGACAGGACAACTTCACCGCATCAAAGGGACGATGGACGGGGCGATGTACCGTCAAATCTTGGGTGAGAACCTCCTTCCCTCAGCCAGGGCATTGAAAATGGGTAGTGGATGGGTATTCCAGCATGACAATGACCCAAAACACACGGCCAAGGCAACAAAGGAGTGGCTCAAGAAGAAGCACATTAAGGTCCTGGAGTGGCCTAGCCAGTCTCCAGACCTTAATCCCATAGAAAATCTGTGGAGGGAGCTGAAGGTTCGAGTTGCCAAACGTCAGCCTCGAAACCTTAATGACTTGGAGAAGATCTGCAAAGAGGAGTGGGACAAAATCCCTCCTGAGATGTGTGCAAATCTGGTGGCCAACTACAAGAAACGTCTGACCTCTGTGATTGCCAACAAGGGTTTTGCCACCAAGAACTAAGTCACGTTTTGCAGAGGGGTAAAATACTTATTTCCCTCATTAAAATGCAAATCAATTTATAACATTTTTGACATGCGTTTTTCTGGAGTTTTTTGTTGGTATTCTGTCTCACTGTTCAAATAAACCTACCATTAAAATTATAGACTGATCATTTATTTGTCAGTGGACAAACGTACAAAATCAGCAGGGGATCACATACTTTTTTCCCTCACTGTAGGCAGGCCAAGACTGCCCAACCACCAAACCGTAGGTTTACAAGAGGCGGTGCAGGTCAAAGTGCGTCTCTGAAATTACTTGCTCTTCCCGGTGCGGTATATACGTACGTTGCACGTCTTTCACGCCGTACGTGGCCAACCATGCGAATCGGAAGTGCTGAAGTGAGCTCAGGAGAGCTCTTATGAAGGGTATTTTGGCCTACTCTTCCACGGTGGCCAGACGCCTTGGAAGAGGTGGCAGTACCCCACAGCGCGGCGAATGCAAACGGCCAAAAAATCGTCGTCGCGTGCGACGTTGTGTCAGCTCGCAAAGTGCAACGGTCCGGACCCTCTCCGACGTGTTTGCGGATCGTGGCCGCGTGTTGTTCCCCGCACGACGCCCGGCGTTTCGCTCCCAATGCCGGCAGCTTCTCGAGAAAGTCTCAAATGCAGTTCCCGCAGCTCCCGGCAGGCGGAGCGAAACGTCGGGGCCACGGTTCCCCCGGAACAGCCAACGCACGCCGCGGCGCGAAAAACGCATCGGGTGAGCTGTGCCAACGGCAACCGCGACGGCCGCCGCAGGCGTAGCCTGGGGGCACTTTCGCACGAGGCCCCGCCAGAGACGGCGCGGCGGCGAGCGACGGCGCCGAAACCGAATCGCGTGTGGACGACGCATCGCATCACGCCGCACCCAACGCGTCAATGTGTACGCAGGCGACGCTTTCGCATCCGAGTCATTTGTTCCACCGCAGGGCCGCACCCGGGCCGCCTGCCAGATAGACGTAAATAAAACGTGGTGAAATAGTCTCACGCCGTCTCACCCGATTGGGTTCGGTCCAATTTGTTTTCACCCGTTTACAGCACAGTGTTTCTCCCACACAGCAATAGGGGAAGGCATCAAAAGGTCACAAAGGTTTATGTAACTGCGGTGCCACCACAAACCGCCCTGATCCAGTAAAGGTCAGTAAACGTTTATTCTTGCGGGGGCAATTCGGTGGCGAATCAGAACACTTGGCTCTGTCTGCACAATGCAGGAGTGCGACATGGAAAGGTTACAGAAAATGTCGCAAGCTTCGACTGCATAAGTACCACAATTCCGTGCTGCATTTCGACAGCACGAGGATTACGAAGGGGGCAGAGTTCCACAAATTAGGCGACCTCTCAGGATCACATTTCTCACAATCATCCGAATACTGCAAATTCACACAGGGTCTCGTTATAGTCTTCAAAGTCTTATTTGCGGGGAAAATGTCCACACACGCACACACACAGAAAAGAATCGGAATGAACCGTCAACATCTCAGTGTGGGCGAGTTAGTTCCTCTGCGCACGTCCGACACCGCAATATTCTATGGATAATCGTCCCTTATCAAGAGTTATGGACAAAATTCTACATCAACTATTCCCCATGTAAAAAAGCTACTTCATATGTACACCGATAATTACCTGCAACATTAAACGTGCACAAGACACACCTCAGCAATCCCACAACTGCTCGCGGGTAGCTCTGCAACACGATCGGAGGGAATTGGGCGGTTTTTTTTGTTTTGTTTTGGGAAATGTAAAACTGCCTCCCAGAAACTCGATCTGACCGTGTGACAATGTGACAGGATGCCGTGACTCGCGATCAGAAGGTCCCCAACACACGGAGGCATCGGGTGTCCGACTCGGCCGACCGTTCCTCGGGAGCTGACGAAGTAGGTTCTCCCGTGCAAGAGGGCAACAACGGCGGTTTCTCCGTGGCGAATGTCATCCCCTTCGTGCAAGGGCTTCGGTCAATTCACCGCCAGTGCAAAACTTCATTAACTCCTAAAGCCAACAGCTGCCAAGATCATTCGTTTACCATTGCACGGAGCACTCTTCAAAGTGTCCTTTCGCCAAGTGAGGCTCGGTGTGACGACCGCGTTTTTTTAATACTATTTTACTATTTTTATCTTACCAGGTAAGGCCCACTGAGATATTGAGCTCTTTTTCACAGGCGACCTGGCGATCACAAATGATAGCTCAATGAAGTGGCTGATCACGTGGAAATGTATAGCAGTTAAACACTCTACACGCAACGTTGATTCGAAAAAGTGGAAGGAAAAAACGGAGGGACCGGAGAAAAGTCCACGCGACCATGTGGAGAGAGAAACGCAAACTCCAAATATACAGCAGGCGTCAAGAGTCAGGATCGAACCCACGACCTCCTTGCATACG